TTGCCAAATATTCTGAGTGAGGAAAGATGCTACAATGACTGGAAATCCTGGGAAAAGCTTGGATTTCAGTGCCTTGGTTGGGAGAGAAGCTGAGCTCCTCACTTCTGACTCTCTATCCTTGTCCCCCACCACACATAAACACACACACTTGTTCTGCCTTCCTACTGGTCTAACTTTTACAAGGTCTGGAGAGCCCTTGTGAATGTTTTCCTTTCACAATCACCTAGGGCCTTTCCCTAGGCTATGAAAGAAGGGGGTAGGGGTTGATAAAGAACCCAAGAAGAAAGCTGAAGATTCCCTCCTTCTATTGGATAGAAGAGTGCACTGGACTTGAAATGGAAGATCCATTTTTCAGAAAGTCTGTCCTCACATATCCAGCTCCAGGTCTTCTTTCAGAACCTTTGCTGCCACCTAGCGGGCCATTTGGCGCCATTTCCCCCTCAGAGAGAAGGATAAAACTTGCTTCTGGTGACATGGTGGGTGAGGCATTTGACTGCTAACCAGAAGGTCAGTGGTTCAGACCTACTAGCTGCTCCATGGGGAGCTCTGGTAGCCTAGTGCCTAAGGCACTTGACTGTTCACCAGAAGGCTGGCAGTTCAAACCCACCAGCCACTCCTCGGAAGGAAGATGGGACAATCTACTTCTGTATTGATACTGCCTCAGAAACCCAAGGAGGGGTTGCTATGAGTCGAATCAACTCAACAACAGTGAGTTCGGTTTTTGTTTGTTTGTTCCTCGGAAGGAAGGTTGGGCAATCCTACTTCCGTAGTGATACTGCCTCGGAAACCAAGGAGGGGTCGCTATGAGTCGGGGCACATAACAACAACAACAACAACAGTATCCTAGAAGGAGGTCTGGTAGCATAGTGCCTAAGGCACTTGACTGCTAACCAGAAGGCTGGCGGGTCAAACCCACCAGCCCACTCCTTGGAAGGAAAGTTGGGCAATCTACTTCCGTAGTGATACTGCCTCAGCAACACAAGGAGGGGTCTCTATGAGTCGGGGCTAACTCGATGACACATAACAACAACAGTATCCTAGAAGGGAGCTCTGGTAGCCTAGTGCCTAAGGCACTTGACTGCTAACCAGAAGGCTGAGGGTTCAAACCCACCAGCCACTCCTTGGAAGGAAGATGAGGCAATCTACTTCCCTAGTGATACTGCCTCAGAAACCCAAGGAGGGGTCGCTATGAGTCAGGTCCGACTCAACAGCACATAACAACAACAACAACAGTATCCTAGAATCTCACAGAACATCTCTGTTCATCAGAGACATAAGCTCTTTCCTGCCTTTGGGCATTTGCAGTTGCTGCCTGGAATGTTCTTTCCCTAGCTTCTCCCAGGCCTGGCTCCATATCTTTTAGCCATCAGCTTAAATCACCTGGGAGACCTTTTTTGACCACCCATCTAGAGTCATGGAGGAACCCTAGTGGTTCAGTAGTTAAGCGTTCAGTTGCTAACCAGACTGGTGGTTTGAACCCACCAGCTGCTCTGAAGGAGAAAGGAAGCAGTCTGCTTCTGTAAAGATTACAGCCTTGGTAACCCCACGGGGCAGTTCTGCTCTGTCCTGTAGAGTCCTATAAGTTGGAATCAATAGTCACAGTTAATCTGAAACTTAATCATAACCTGCAGTTACCTTGTTTGTTCACATGTTTACCTGTTCCTTATATTTACATGTAATGTAAATTCCAGGCAGACATAGACATGCCTGATATGTTCACTGCTATGTCCCCAGTGTCTAGCATAGTACCTGGCACATAGTCTGGGCTCAATACTATTTATTGAATGAATGAATCACTACAAAGAAGGGGACATTCTGTGAAGAAATAAGATAGGTGATATGGCCCAAATTAAATTTTAACCTCCCTACCTAGACTCTAAATCATAGAAAAACCATTCTGGCTCTGAGTACCAGGCTTTAATTTCTATATCTGAAGCACAGTACAGTTTGAACCAGAGATACTGCTTTGAAGTTGCCCAAGAGAAATAGGGACACATTCCCAGTATCCATCCAGCAGATACAGAAGGCTCTGATGATTTGTGGAGGCCCCATCTCTACCCTTCCCCATATGTCTGAAGTGTGAATTTCAGCTAAGGTCCTTTGAGATTTGTAGAGTACTTAGGATTCTGGGAGTGACTTGGGCTCCATCAGTCTCTTTGGTGTCAAGTATGTCAGGAAGCATACCTTCAGTGAGCAGTCAAAGGATAAAAATGAACTTTTCATACCACAGGACACTAGAAAAATCAGATTTTTTTTTATTTAAAAATATTTTCAAAGGCTAATGCAGTAGTAGAACAACCCAAACAAAGGTGGTTGCACCAAATTCAGGGACTTAGAAGAGCAAGCAGGTCTGTATAAATACACATAATTTATAAATGAGCATAACAGGAGCTGCATTGACCCCCAGAAGACCAGGCTGAGGAGAAACAGAAAGAGGGCCCTCCGGAGGGACCCGCACCACTCAAAGCACTGGGCCCACGAAGGATTTCAGAGCCACCTCTCCTACAGCAAGTCTTTGGTCCTTTCTGAGCCTGGGGCTATGGCTAGAGACCAGATTCACCAACATTTTGGCACAGCCACCTATGACTTGGCACCTTTAATGGCCTCTGGCGCAACCCAGCAAGGCTCAGAGAACAGATTTGTTCTCCCTGCTCTTCAGCAAGGACTAGGGAGGGGAAGTTCTGGGCCAAGGAGTATTTCCTGAAAGTATAATGAAAAGAAGTGATGAAAAGAGCTGACTCAATAAAAAGGGTCAGCACCCATCGATTATGTCACTGTGGAGAGAATGAGAACAATGAGTTTCATCTTACACAGATTTTGTGCAAGCAGCCCACAAGACCAGGCTCTAAACTTAATCCTGGAACCTGGGACAAAATCTGAGCTCAGATTAGAGGTCAATCTCTCCAGTCTGCATTTGGGTTTTTCATAAATAAGACACATAATCAAGGCTCTGAAATAATTTTCACTGGGATTTCTCCCCTGATTAAATCTCTTACGTATCTGAATGGGAGAAAAACAGTGGCTGTTTCTGACACTACCCTCTTTACCACTAGTATATGGTTGTTGGTGGTGGCGATGGTGGTGTTATGTGCCGTGGAATCAGACCTGACTCATAGCAACCCCTCCTTGGTATATGGTAGTGTAGTGGATAAGGTATTTGACTACTAACCAGAAGGTCAGTGGTTCAAACCCACCAGCCACTCTGCAGAAGATAGATGGGACAATCTACTTCTGTAAAGATTTACAGCCTTGTGGGAGTCACTGTGAGTTGGAATCGACTCAATGGCAGTAAGTTTGGTTTCAAGTTTTTTTAATGTCCCTAGTACTGATATCTGCCCTAATACTTTTGGGCCTCCTCACTAATGCCCTTCCTAAACCCCAAAACTACTGTCTTGGCAGATGGATTCCAGGGAGAGTAGACCAGGGTTCTAGGACATAGAACTTTTGAGAATAGAGAAGGCTTTCACGGAGAAGGCAACCTCCCCAAGTAAAATCCACTACTGTGTCCACCCTTCTCATCCCCACCTCTCTAGGGGTAATCTCCAACAACCTCTTCAGCCTGGTTCCTACACTGTACTAGGCCTACCTTGGACACAGCCAACTTACTAGTGGAGAACAAAGCCCATGCAGTGGAGGACCCTCCTCTAGGGCCTGCAACACACCTACTACAGGTGACATGAGAGAGCTCTGCCCTATAGTGACCCAGCACCATCACACCCGGCCACCCAGACGAGCTTCCCCAACGGGCTGTTGTTGGCCATGCCTGAGATCCAGGCAGTCAAGCAGAGAGTACAAAATAAACCCTGAAGTTAAGGCCCCCACCTGGCCCACCATATATTCCCATCCCCTCCTTCCAGGGCCTGGGGCACCTTGGAAGTGTTTGAGCACAGCAGAGGAAGATCCAGTACCAGGTCTGTGGCCACAGTGATCAAAGGTCACCTCCATCTCCCAGGAAATGGCAGCAGAGGACACAGTGTTCAGAACCTCCTGTTCTTCCTAGCCCCTGCCACCATCCTGTTAGGACTAGTATACCAAGGTTCAGCCAGCTTCCTCATGAGGGGCCAGCAGAGCCTTAGCCCAGAGCATAAATAGTCATCTCTTGCTGTAATCCTGGCCACAAGCCTTCCTCTTCCACTCATAGTTGTCTCCCACCTCCCTCCATTCAGCCAGAGCAGGCCTTTACTCCCTGGCCTGGTAAGTGCCTGGCTCCCTGTAAAGAAGTCCTGTGGGCCCCAGAACAGGGACTCTCAGAGGCCCAAGTAAGAGCACATTGTGTTAGGAGAGAGCAGAGCCCTCTGCTGGTTTGTGTTTTGGCTTCTGACCCCTCCAGTAGAGTGAGCTGTTTGACAGGGAGCCACATTTCTGGTATCAGAGCATGGCCTTTGTCTCCTGGGGCATCCCCCAGTGATCTGCTTGTGTGCTAGAATTGTTTCCAATGAGCAAGTTGAATTTTTTTTTTTTTTTTTTCCATTTAAGTGGTTGCTGAAACTTGGTATACAGAATCCTGCAGCTGGTTCCAAAATTTGGGTCCCATACTCTAGTCCAAAAATTCCAGGATCTAGTTACTTTGTAAACAGGTACTTCAGATCACTCACTGGAGAGAAAAGAGCTGGGAGGTGAAAAGATCTGTACTTTCCCTTATACTATCTCAGCACAGCAGCAGCATAAACCAAGGGGATCGTTGATGGAGGCTTAGCACCCAGAGAGTTCTTCTTGGAGTAGGAGTGAGAACAAAGGCCAAGTGGCTGTTACCTGCACACAGGAGAGATGCCTAGATCAGTGAAGAGGCCCAGAAAACAAACATGGGCTAAAAGACCAGTGAAGCCTTTCTCTCTCTAAGGGAGTAGGGGTGGGAGAATCTATGTACCCCACATGCACGGCCCAGCCTTACTGTGGACCATTAAGCCAGCTCAGCCAAAGGGGGCCAAGTCCAGCCTGGCCTTAGGTTTGGGCTCCTGTCCACACCCTCAATTCCAGAAGCATTAGGAAGATAAAGGGCCTCACCTGTGCCCAGGGACTGGGCCATCCCAGTTCAAGGAGCATAACTGCTGTTCCAGCTGAGAGATGCGGAATGCCAGGTAGGATGAGGACATGACCAGGAAGCAAATCCTGGAGGAAGAGGGGCAAGAAGTTGAATCTGTCTTCCAGAGAAAAGGCATTTTTAGAGACTCAGCGGAAAAAGGAGTTGCAGCTATTCCTGCAACTGAAGGAATGAAAGAACCCATTCTGTGTGGCCCTGCTCAGACCTAAGCATCTTTCTTCTCAGAGGCCACAGGAAAGTTCTGAAACCAGGCCCCATGAAGATGACCTCAAAGCCCAGCAGGAATTCTAGACCTTTCAGCTGAGCCCTGGAGAGGGCTCTGGTCACAGCTCTCATCCTGCCTTCCCTCTGACCAGCCACTTTGGTCCTGTGCCTCCTCTAGACCACTAAGATCACCCCCTGAAGTAGATACCCCCAGCAGGTGCTGAGGTTGACAGTCAAAACAGCAGAGCCAGAGGAAATTGGTGAACTGAGGGGAGGGGGATCAGGCTGGTGGTTCACGAAACATCCTACCATGTTCACAACTCTACTGGTCCTTAGGTGAAGGGACAGACAAGGCAAGGGTTCCAGAAACTGCCCTAGCAATGGGCAGTGGGCAGTGGGAAGGCCATGCTTCCCACCAGCAATGCTCCTCCCTCTGCAATTCTGCCGCATCCCCTCACCACTGTGGGTAGTGATAAACTCTCCAACCAATATGTGGAAAGGCCCTTCCCCTAAAAAAATGACATATGATTTGACATTTTACTAAGAGATTAAGGGAAAATGAAATCATAGCAGAAGCCAAAAGACAGGAGTCAAAGCCCAGGATTCTGAATGGTCCAGATGTTACACAAAGCTAATCTGAATTCTGTCACAAGTCCTCCACCCCACCCCCCATGCACCAACTTCTCCTTTTCTCAACAGTTGCATATACTGCCCTTTCCCCCCTGCACAACCTTAACCCCAAATTACAGGGTTTCAAGAGCAAAAACTTGAGAGACTTTCTCTTGCTGCAGAAGGGCCTGTCATACAATCTCCAGTCACCGTAAGGAGCAAGTTGAATTTTTTTTTTTTTAATTTAAATAATTGCCAAAGCTTACTGTACAGAATTCCATAGCTGGTTTCCAAATCTGCTTTTCATTGCAGATGACTCAGAACCTTCGCCTGGCTCTGGATAATGATGTCCCCATACATCAAGGCCCCTGCTCCCAATACCTAGACACCTAGACACCCAGGTAGGTCTGCCTTCTCTCCCAACAGCATCACGTACAGCACAAAGAAGACCTTAAGGATCCGGTAATCCCAGAGCCTCAGCTCCCCATCACTCTTGGGCACCTCTTCCAGCATGTCCTCCTCGCAGACAGCATCCTCTGCAATGGGAGAACAGTTACGTATCCTCCCAGGGCAGGGAGGATCCTACCTCAGCTCAGGGCACACCAGCCTCCCCTCATTCCTTGCAGCTACCTGGGCCAGCTTGGGCTCCTGACTTTCCCTTATGGATTTTCAGAAAGAAAGAAACAACCTTCAGAAGCCCTGATGGCTATGATGAGTCGTTTTCACAGAACTGGGAAGAGGGAGAGCCTGGCCTTTGCAAGCCATTGCCATGGACAACCAAAACCAAACCAGTTGCCACAGAGTCGATTGTAGCTCATGGTGACCCCAGGTGAGTAGAGTAGAACTGCTCCATAGGGTTTTCAAGGCTGTGACCTTTTCAGGAGAAGATCGCCAGGCCTTTCTTCCAAAGTGTCTCTGGGTCGGTTCGAATTGTCAGCCTTCCAATTAGTAGTCACATGTTTAACCATTTACGCTACCCACGGATTCCTTGCCATGGACAAGCCCACCTGAACTCACCAGACACTGGAGGCTTCCTAGAGGGAAAGAAGCTGTCTGTGGAATCCATGGATGCCCGAGCAATACAAGGGATGTTGTCTGGGAGGGACAGGGATCTGGAAGCATGGCACACTTTTCTCCACTTCATCTCGGGAATGAGGACTTCCTGCAGATGGGGGGAAAAGCTGTCTCACCATGGCCTTTAGGATCTTAGGTGCCCTAACGAGCTCATACCAGGTTTATCAGAGCTTTCTTTAGAAATTACCATTATGTCTGTGGTCATTTTTGACAAGGGTGCTAAGTCCGTTCATTGGGAAAGAAGAGTCTCTTAATAAATGGTGCTGGGAAAATTGAATTTCCACATAAAGAAAAATAAAATATGACCCATGGAAAGAAAATTATAAATTACAGGGTAACCTCAAAGAAAAAAAAAAATAAACCTTCACATCAAAATAAAAAAGGGACAATCACAAATACTTAGCAAATACTAAAATAATAGCAATGAAGAAGATGATAATACAATTCATAAACAAAATGAGCTCAGCACAGAAAATTATATAGAACAAAGAAATCAGCAAAAGTACTTAACAAAATGACATTAATAAATTCATCCTTGTTGATAATTATATTGCAGTTAGATGTCTTAGGCAGTACACCACCAGAGCTCCGTCATGTCATACACAAACACAAATTCAAAATGGATTAAGGACCTAAATATGCAAACTGAAACTATAAAATTCTTAGCAGAACAAGCAGGAGCAACACTGTCAGGCCTAGCTTTCAACAGTGGATTATTTAATAATGAAAGCACAAACAACAAAAGATAAATAAATGGGCCCTCATAAAAATTAAAAACTTATACCAAAAGACTACCAAAAAGATGAAAAGACAAGCTACTGACTGGGAGAATATCTTTGGAAAACAAGAATCTAGTTTTATAAACACACACACACATATAACTTAACAAAAATGAAAATAACCCAGTCATAAAATGGACAAGGGACTTAAATAGATATTTCACATTCACATGGCCACCAAACACATGGAAAGATGCCGAGTGCCATTGCTGTAAGACAGATGCAAATCAAAACCACAATGAGGTAACCATTACATTCCCACTAGAATGGCCAAGCTTGAAAAAACAGAAAATAACAAATGTTAGCAAGGATGGGGGGAAATTGGAACCCTTATCCATTGCTGATGGTAATGCAAAATGGTATAGCCGCTGTGAAGAACAGTGTGGCAGTTCCTCAAAAAACTAAAAATAGAACTGCTACATGACCCAGGAATTCCACTCCTAGGTATATGCCCAAAAGACTTGAAAGCAGAGACTCAAAAAGAGACTTGTACACCACCGTTCATTGCAGCACTATACACAATAGCCAAAAGATAGAAACAGCCTAACTGCTTATCAACAGATGAATGGATAAACAAAATGTGGTACATACATATAATGGATACTACTCAGCCAGTAGGAGAAATGAAGTCTTGATACATGCTATGGATGGAGCTCAAAGATACTAAGCTACGCAAAATAAGCCAACCACAAAAGGACAAATACCACAAAAGTATGAACTCACTATATGAAAGACAAGACGAGGCAAATATATAGACACCAAAGTGGTTACCAGGGACAGGGGAGAGGAGACAAGTGGGATTAACGGTGATGGAAAAATCACATTGATTAAGGGTAGGGTTGCACAGCTAATTATGAATTAATTATTATTCATCTTGGGAATGAGGACTTCCTGCAGGGAAGGTGGGAAAAGCTGTCTCACCATGGCCCTTAGGATCTAAGCTCTAAGGAGCTCATACCAGGTTTATCAGAGCATTCTTTAGAAATTACCATTACGTCTGTGGTCATTTTTGATAAGGACGCTAACTAAGTCCATTCAGTGGGAAAGAAGAGTCTCTTTTTCTAATTGCTGTCAATAATTTTTAGACCCTTATAGAGTTAAAAGGCAATTGGCAAAATCTGTGTGATAGATACAACAATGACAAAAGGTGGGGGGAGATACTAGCTGCTGACGCTGCATATAAACAACCAAACACCTCATGGAATGTGGTTCCTTGGTTTGGAGGTTTAGGGTATTGATTTCATGGGGCTTCCCAGTTAATTAGCCTAATTACACTTAGTACTTCTATTCAGCCTCCTACTTCATTGCATGGGAGCTCTGGTGGCATAGTGCCTAAGGCATTTGACTGCTAACCAGAAGGTTGGCAGTTCAAACCCACCAGCCACTCCTCGGAAGGAAGACTGGGCAATCTACTTCTGTAGGGATACTGCCTGGGAAACCCAAGGAGGGGTCGCTATGAGTCTAATCTACTCGACAGCAGTAAGAATGAGTTCATTACATAGTGCCTGGGGTCTTAAAAGCTTGCAGACAGCCATCAAAAGCACAATTAGTCTCTATTCATCTGGAGCAACAGAGGAAGAAAACAGAGTCAGAAGCAGAAGGAGGAAATGGAATGTGTGGCTAATTGCCTTCTTTGCTGTCATACCAGAAGAACTGAATGGTGCCCAGCTACCATTACTGAACATCTTGATGCAGAACAGAATTTCAGATTCTCATGAACTCTAGACTCTGGAGACACGAGGGGTAGATGAACCCCTGAAACTACTGCCCTGAGATAATCTTTAAATCTTAAGCCAAAAATATCCCTTGAAATTATCTTAAAAGCAAACAGTACTTTAGCTTAACTGGTTAAAAAAAGGTCTGCCTTGAGCAATATTCTCTTTTACGAACTATCTAGAAGAAGATAAAACTATCTTTTAAGAACTATCAGATTGACAACAGCAACTAAAAAGATAGGAACATAGACGGCAGTGAGTTTTTGTTAATGTAAGAGGAACAACTCAGAAAAGAAGGGTGAGAATGGTTGCACAACTTGAAGAATGTAATCACTGTCACTAAACTGTACATGTAGAAACTGTTGGGAAAAAAGAAAAGAGTACAGCCTAGGAAACCTTATGGAGCACTTGTACTCTTTCACATAGTGCCGCTTTGAGTTGGAATAAATTCAACAGCATATAACAACTTTGCTTTTGTAGTTTTTATTTTGTTTGGGTTTTATAGTAATAAAACAGCTATCAACATAAGTGTACTCCTAGTTTTGTGCTTGTATATATAGGTAATCAATAAAAGAAAATACCAATATGGATGCCTAGCCAGGGGTGAAAGCAGGTACCCAGGTATGGGGAACCACTGCCATCACAACCACACTTCTCTTTTGTCTGCGTCCTTGCTGTGACCAGCCACTCTGCCAACTGGTCCCCGCACTGCCAGCAAGGTACAGTGTCCTGACCGAGGAGCACCCTGCTTGCCTTCAGCCCCTTTGCACACCCTGCCTACCATTCACACCAGCTCTCCTATTGCCACCTGGGCAGGAGAGGTGTGAGCTAGAGTGAGTTCACTTGCAATTGTTCTCAAGATCTAAACAGATAAGAAGTTGAACATCCACGTTGAAATGTGATTGATGTTAATTAGAGTGATACTAGGCAGTGCCTCACTGTACCCCAAAGTCTGGACAGAACCCAGGAAAGGCCATACTCAAGCTGTGGCCTAGGCAGAGGCCTCTGGCTTACCACTTCGCCTTCAAGCATACCTCCCTTCCCATGGTCCCAGGAAAGAACACTTTTTAAAACTGATAGTGTGGAACCACAGTGATATTTTAGACATGAGCCAACCCAGGTACATGCTCAAATCAAGTCCAAGAAAGAATACCACAACATGTCTTAGATGGCTTATGTCTTGGTTCCTCTAATCCTGGCTTGAACTCTAAGCATGTCACTGACCCACTGACCTTGGCAGGGGGTTTTAGGGTCCCTGTGAACAAAATGGTAACATCACCTTCTACCCCTGCTTGGTATGCACTTAGCTAAATGATTAATGATGGCTTCAGACACCCTCGGGTCATTTCCACCCTCACTCCCAGCTCTGGAAGCTCAGCTCTGCCTTCCTAAGGCCCCAGCTGCCAAAAGAAGTCCCTGGGACCTTGGCAAATCCAGAATTAATCTGTCTGGGTTCTACAGTGATAGCCTTTGGATTTTTTCCCCAGGGACATCTCTATCCTCTTAAAGGCCCTCCTGACTCAGCCAAAGGAAAGAAGATAGGTCACTGGTCCTGTGTCTATACAGGTGAGATCCAACCTGGCAAAAAGTTAGCAAAACTGCCCAGGACCTAGCAGCACAGCCTGGTATGGGGCTAGGTGGGTCTAGGGGACCCTCCTGATGCAGCATGGCTGCAGGCCCCTGAGCCTGGTACCCCAGTTCTGCACTGGGAGCCCTGAAACCCCCAAACCACGAGCAGTCTCAGGCCAGCAGCCTTTGCTCCCAAACTCAGCTCTCACCAGAGACTCGCACTCAGGTTCCTCTGGAAACTGTCTCATACTCAGACTCTTCTTACTGGAAGGCTAAGGAGGAAAGGGAAAAGGGGTTACATGTCCATCTGGCATAGGGAGGTATTAGCACTTCCCAAGACTGCTGTGCTTCCAGATAAGCCATTTCTTGTGTCAGATGAAGGCTAGCTCCCAGAGTTTAATGTTGAAGCAGAGGGGCAAATCCAAGGGAACCTTCCCATGCTACTCCCCCTCCCTCCTCCACTTCCTTACCATTGGCTAGAGGGAGTTGCAGGGCATGTTGGGAAGTACCTACATGCTCTTGTCTGTGCTTTAAGGAAGCACAAGTGAGAGCATGCCCATGGGGATAAACAAGAACCCACTGACCTCAAAGAGACATGCTCAGAAGCACAGACACACAGTCCAAGTACTGCCTATGGGACAATGAGCCAGAGCCTTTCACTTCCCTCTCACTGCCCTATGCCCAATCCCCTATGCTGGAGAAATGGGAAGCCAGTCTCCCCCAACAGCCTGAGCCCAAGCCTAAGCAGCCTGTCTGACCCAACTCCTGCCCCTGAGCTCCATACCTGTAGGTGGGTGCAGACCCTTCTCAGCATGTCATATACACTGTCCCGGGAGAGCATCGACACAAAGACATACTGGGACAAAGAAAACAGAAAGGGATGAGGTAAGATGAGATCTCTGCCGTACCAGCAGCCTCCCCTCTGTGGATGAGCAACAGGCCCATAGGGATATGGGGCTATAAGACATCAAAGGGACCCACTTGCCTATGAACCTCTGTTCTGGCATGTTAGAGGGGCTAAAAAAATCCACTGGAAGGTTGTGGAGTAGGGAGGAGTAAAGGCCTGGGAGTGTGCCAGAGTCAGGCTATGGGATTTTAGGGGCTGGCATGGGAAAACTGGTAAGGGAGCTCTGCTCCAGGGACTAACCCACCTTCTGGCTGGTGGTGGTGGTAATGGCCAGCCCATTGGGAAGAAGTCGTGCCATCTTGTGTTTTTTGATCATTTGCACAGATACTACAGGAATGACCACCTAAAGGAGGACAGGCATGCTCCTCTCAAGACCTGCCCCAAAGATATCCAATCCCTACATGGCGACCCCAGCCACAGCTGGCAGTGAGCCAAGTGTGGACACCATGCAGAAGCTTGATCCCATGTGGGGGAATACCTGAACCTTCCACCCTCCCAGCCCAGCTCCCCTTCTAGTTATCCCCACCTCAGCCTTAGCAGCATATGCTGCTCTGGGTTCTCAGTTTAACCCTTTATTTATTTATTTATTTTTTATGTTTTAATTTTTATTGTAATTTGGGTGAAAGTTTACCAGGCAAATTTATTTTCCACACAGCAGTTCATACACATTTTGTTTCGTGACATCAACTACAATTCCCCACAATGTAACAGCTCTCTTCCTACTTCCTCCCTATAGTTACCTCTTCCCTATGTCCTTCTTTCCTATGCATTCCTGCCCCCCGAGCTATCTCCCTGTGCAAATACTGCCCTTCTGTTCTCCCATGATTGATCAATCTAAGGAGTGTATCTAGCTAGTGTAAATGTTCACCCTATATGCCTGTCAATTGTTTGCTGGAAGCCATGGAAGTGAGTTCAATTCCAGGCCTGAAGAGTAACTAGGAGTCATAGTCTTGGGGGTTATCATCAGGCTCTATCAGACCAGCAAACCTGGTCTTTTTGATGATTTTGAGTTTTGTTCCACATTGTTCTCCCACTCTATCTAGGATCTCCTGCACTTATCCCTTTCTGAGTGGATGACAATAGTAGTGGGGCACCATCTAGTTCTTCTGGTCTCATGGTCATATAGGCTGAGGTTTGCATGGCCCACTAGTCCCCTGGACTGATTGTTCTATGTGTCTTTGGTTTTCTTCATTCTTTGCACTGGATGAAGAGAGACCCATTGTTGCATCTAGATGGCCGTTTGCAAGCTTTTAAGACCCCAGTCACTACTCACCAAAGAAGGATGTAGAACAATGTTTTTGTGTAGTATTTTATACCAATTGAGCTTGATGTCTCCTGTGACCATGGTCCTGAACCCAAAAGTCCAGCAACTCACTCCATCAGGGTGGTTGTGCCTAAGATGTTATCCTAACTTTGCCCCCTGTTCTAGTTATATGAACATTCTTATAGCACATACAAATACATATATAGAAATATTATCTGCCAACCTTATATATGGTCATGGGTATATTCCCTTTTGCCTAGACATGCCTGATCAGTCAGCTTGTCTACCCATATATTTACCCATAGGTTAATGTTTGTTATCACTGATAACACAGTATTATATGTGTAAAAGAGTTTATCTTTGTTTTCTGTCCTCTGGTGCCCCTCTCTGTGTTTTCCTTTTCCTTATCTCATTTTAACTTTTGCTATCCAGGAGGCCAAGGATGGTTGCTCTGGTGAATCCCACTCTCTAGTAATGGAGTTCCCTGAGCTACTTCTTGGCTACACTTATGGCTGCACTAAACATGACATACCACTCTGATTCTGGAGGCATTTCTGAGACACCTGTAGGCAGAATAATTTGCTAGCTCAGGCCAGATGTGAGGTCTAGATTAGTCCCCCTGTTTGGAAGGGGCAGGTCTGCTTCCCTGGACACTGAGTGGGATGCCTTGCAGCTGTTCATTCAACCAGTGAGAGGCTTCACCAGGTCCCCAGCATGCAGAGGAATAGGCAGAACTTGAGATGTGCCCTCAGGGCAGGGGGCTCTGGCCTCACTGGGCCATGGCAGCCCTCACCACTCATTACTACCTTGAAATCCTTGCCAAAGAGGCTGGCATGGAAACAGAGCCAATTGGAGGAAATGTAGAGCCGTCCCTGGAGAAGGAGGTCCCTCTGGAGGGCACAGGAGCACACTGGAAGTCAGAGGCAAGAAGGCTGCCATGAGCAAGGTCAGCCCAGGACAGGCCAGGGCCTGAGTTCTCACACACCAGAGTCCAGCTTCAGGACCTGTCCTCCCCAGACACCTGTTTCCCAATCCCAGGCCCCAAACAATCCATTCCCCTAGCACTCTCACAAGCCCTCTCCTGAAAATCCTGACTGTCTTACCCCAGGAGAGAGCTAGATGTTTCCTCTTTCTCCCCTCATGCCCCTAAGGGTCTGGACAGGTTCCTGCCCTAGTTCCCCAAGCCTGGATTTGCACTACCTCAGGCAGAACCCTTTGCCTTGCCCCTGCTCTAAGGAAAGGGCCTTGACTCTGCATGTGTTCCTTAGGCCAGTTGGAGACCTGAGCAGGAAAGAATAGTCGATCTTAAGAGCAGAACATAAATCAGATTAGGAAGCCCTGACATTTATTTCCCCAAGAAAATCTTCATAGATTCAACTTCATATCCCAAACCTGCCCAGTCTTCTCACACTTTTGAAAAAAAAAAGAAACCACCATATCTAAAGGGCAGCCAGTTCCCGTATCTAAGTTGTGCCTGGGAGGCTCAGGAGGAGAAGACCTGGCCCAGGGCATGATGGGGGCCTGCCCAGCCACATGAGGGAAACACCTCACCTTTGAGAACCACCTCCTCCAAAGGGATGTCCTTAAACAGCTTGTGGTACTGCTGGTTGTATTTACTCTGTAAAACCAAAAAAACCAAACTCACTGCTGTTGAGTAGGATCTGACTCAGCGACCCCTCCTTAGGTTTCCGAGGCAGTATCACCACTATGGAAGTAGATTGCCCAATCTTCCTTCCGATGGAGTGGCTGGTGGGTTTGAACCAGCCTTCTGGTTATCAGTCAAATGCCTTAGGTACTACACCATCAGAGCTCCTATTTACTCTGTAGTGTCTGTAAACACACAAGCTAGGTCTTGAGAAGCTCTGGGAGATCAGACCACCAAAGGGGCCTTGCTCCAGCCACCAGGAAAGAATGCCACAAAGGGCCCCCCAGGGACATATCATGTAGCAGCCAGTGGGTGTGGAAGGCTGAGTTCCAAGCACAGCTTGTCTCCTGGTGACACAGGCAGCCAGTGACTAGAAGGAGACACACCACTCCCACCCAGAAGAGGACACCCACTCAGGTCTCCATGAGGCTCTTTGTTTCCTGGTGACAGGCCTAGTGACCAAAGAGCCAACAATGACTGAGTTTAGGCAGCCCAAGGCCCCTCCCTCAGTGGGCAATGAGAAATTAGCCTCCACACACTTACCCCTTCTCGGCCGCACTTCTTTATCTCTTCACCCTTCAAGCCTTCTGGCGCACTGCAAAGGAGACATTCCATTCCAGGGACAAGGAATCTTCGAGTCCTGCCCATTTGTCCTCAGAGCCAGTTCTGCCCTGGCTTTGAGACAGAAGCTTGGGGCAGAGATTGGAACCTGGGCTCAATTCTAGGGGCCACGGCCTAATGCCAAGCACAGGGAGCAGGCAGCTCATCCCTAGGGAAGGGCACTCCAGTCCCTGAAAGCAGCATCCTCCTGGGAGGTATGGTCAGCCTGAGTCTCACAGACAGCTTAGGAGCTGCCCTCCTCTGGGTGTCAAAGACCCTTCCCCATTTCTCTAGCCAAGCAGTTAGCAGTGGAGCAGGCCCAAGAATAAATGAGCAAGAGGTGCAGGGATGGGAACAAGGATGAGGAATGGATGGGAGGAAGGTGTCAGGGGCATGCCTCCTGGAGCTGGCCATGGGCCATGATGCCCGCAGGACTGCTCTCCTTGCCTCCTCCCTGGGGCCCAGAGCTCTGCAGTAAGGAACTCCAAAAACTCACCAGACTTGAGGGAGTCTACCAAGGCATTGGGGAAGAGGGTTGGCCCAAGCACAGGTGGGCAGGGAGGAGGCTAGTAATCTGAGAAGCTTGGACTCTGATAGGTCCCTGTATGCTGAGGCAGCCCTATGGGGTGGGAAGAAGAGGCCCCAGGACAGTCCTTGCCGACCTAACAGACCTGCTGAAGGGCCCTGTTCCCTGAGCCAAACTCTCTGATAGGTGACCTCCTGAAGGCTTCCCACTCCCCATCTGTATGTGTATCTGACTTGAAAGGGCCTCACCTGTAGTCTGGGGGCTCCTGAATCCTGTCTAGTTTCTTGGTGCAGGCCACAAGGCTCTTCAGAGAAGCCATCTTTCCATGCATTTCTTGGTTGCTAGGGAGTCATAGGCCCACATCAGGAGGGCAGCTTGATGGGGAAACTTGTCCTGCCAGCCCCATCCTGCCCAGGGCAACATGCCTCTGCTCCCCCCACCCTGCTTTTTAGGTTGAGACTGAAGAAATCACAGTCAGGTGGCAGAAACTCAGACAGCAGTTCTCAGGCAGCTGATGGATGTGAGAGAGCCTCACACATCGTCTTTCCCAGAATCCTGAAGTTCAGCCTATGCTTAGGCCAGAAAGAACATCAGTCTACCTCATTCAAAGCACTAGGCAGCTGTTAGTCTGGGCAGTTAGGCCTCCAGCCCTACACTTGAGAAGGCACACTGGGGAGACAGGGCTCTGAGACTAGCTTCCTAATAAAAGCAAAAGTTCCTGAAGTGCCCAGACAGCATTACTATAAACTATCCTGTCTGGGAAAGGAGGCCAAGCACAGGGGGCCTTAGCAAAGGTGAGCAGCTGAAAAGGCTAAGTGGGAGGTGAACTTCAGTAAACTCACAGGTAATTGCGGGAAGGAGTGGAGGCCCTGTCTCACACCAGGAAGTGGCTTCAGTCACCTTTGGACAAAGTCAGGATTGCTCTACCCTAAGAGCCAACCATCTCAAAAATGTCCCAGAGAGAGAGCTAAGGAAGGAAAAGACATGCTGTCCCTCCCTACAGTCCCTCAGCCCAAAAGGAGCTGGAACCTGCAGTCTACAAATCCCAGCTGGGCCCCACATTCCAACTGGGACAAGTCAAAGTTTACTTCTTCAAGAATAGTTACTGACTCAGCCCAAAACGTGCCAGGACCCTCAGAGATTATTTAGTCTGATCCCTTCCTTCCATATCAATGTACAATTGAGGAAACAGACTCGCCAAGGACACGCAGTGAAGAGCCAGGTGATCTCATCCACAGTATCAGCCCAGCCACAGCCATCTGGGCTGCTGACTTCCATCCTCAACGTCATGGAAGGTCTTGGCACACACATCAACATATGTTTATTGAATCTTGCAAAGATTCTGACTATGCTAGTGTTTTGACCCTTTGATACCAATCAATTTTGGATTTATTTGGTTCCATCATTTCATATTTCACAGGGTGTTCCCCCACTACCACTTTATCTTTTATGCTCATTGTAGAAAATTTGAGAAATACAGAAAAAATTAATATCACCCATAAGAAAAAAATTTCCCCAAATCGCCCCAAAGAAAAAATTTATGCCTTAGTATATAGTTTATGTAAGTGGAATTAAATAGCATAGCAGTTGAATTCTGCTTTTCTTGCTTAACATGGTTTCTTGAGAAATTCTGCATGTTACTGTCCATTCTTGGGATAGATTCTCAGAAGTGAAATTAATGGATTGAGAATGAACATGCTAAACCTATTAACATGCCATTAGCACTGCATGAGGGGGCCTGTTTCCCCACATCCAAGCCCTATTCTGGGTATATCTTTTTCTCACATTTGCAAATTTAATAAGTAAAAATATGTTCTTTTAATTTATTTTTCTGTTTACTGGTAGATTGAACTTCCCTCCCATACAAATTCCCACTGGAATTCAATTATAAATTGTCTTATCTGTAAGGATCTTTTATGTTTTCTTACTGGTTTGTATAAATTCTTTATTTATTAAGGATCTTAATTTTGGGTTTATCATTTTCACATATATTTTTCTCAGTTATTCATTTGCCTTTTAATTCTGCTTGTGGTATTTTTGCTGTACTTGTGTTTAACCTCTGTGTAGTAGATTCCATCTCTATTTCATTCTTGGCTTATAGCTTTTGATAACAGAGCACCCTATGGAGTAGCCTGTGCAAGTCAAACCACTGAGCCATTATAGAGTTTGAGCCCTGCAGGGAGAGAAGGGAGTAGGCTCAGTTCTAAGGCACACACTTCAGACAGACAAGGGGATAAAACTGGCCATTGATGAGAAGGGGCTTGGTCATGGTCACTCGTGGTTTCAGAGGTAAGGACCCCCATTAATCAGGCCTGGAGAGTGTGATTTCGGTTCACAGGGTTTTCCAGGGCTCAGAGAACACATAGATCTCTGTGGGCTGAAATAATCACACAAGGGTTCCTAGAGAAAAGGAAGCTGAGCCTATAACCAGTCACTGTCAGTTCCGACTCATGGCAAACCCCCGTGTGTCAGAGTAGAACTGTGCTCCATGGAGTTTGCAAAGGCTGATTTTCAGAAATAGATCACCAGGTCTTTCTTCCAAGGCAACTCTGGGTGGACTCAAACCTCCAACCTTTTTGTCACCAGCTGAGCATATTAATTGTTGGTGCCACACAGGGACTCCAGACTTTATAAACTGGGTAGGATTTTAATCCTGTCTCATAGATTCTAAACCAAATTCATCTTGGGGTTAAAATACGACCTTCCCAGAAAGAGTAGCCTTCCTTTGTCACTCCCCTAGCCAGGTGAGAGGCTTCTCTTTCAGGTACTCCCAGCAGCACTGTTTTCACACTGTCCACCTCCCCAACTGGATAAAGGCTCCAGGAGGTCAGGGGCCTTGCCTCATCCATCGCTGAACCCCCTGAGCCTAGTGCAATACTAGCAGGCAACAGGGCACTCATAACATGTTCATCAAATATGAGTGTTGCTGCTGTGTGAAGACAGCATAAGCGAGACAAATAATGACTGCTGGAGGAGAGATGTTGTTGTTGTTGTTGTTATGTGCCGTCGAGTCGGCCCTGACTCATAGCCACCCCTCCTTGGGTTTCCGAGGCAGTATCACTACGGAAGTAGGATTGCCCAACCTTCCTTCCGGAGAGTGGCTGGAGAGATGGACCATGAAAATCCAAAAAGAAGGGTGCATACATTTCCCACAGCATCTTCATGGAGAAAATAATGGTATAAACTGGAGTCACTTGTGAACAAATGACTTTCAAATATCTTTAAACCAAAAGCAACTCCTTATATGTGATTAACAGGATGGTCATAAGGCATTCATTTGTGTGCCTCCATTATTAAAGCCAGTCCTTCACGGCTCTCCTCCAATAATATAGTTGGTCCCAAGACCCTACCAGTGGCCCAAATGACTAAGCCTTCAAAATTAAATACAAATTCAGACTTTCTACTAGTCTTTGCCCATACAGCGTTTATTTGCTTGCTATTGATGTATTTAATTGCTGTCAAGTCAATCCCAACTCATGGTGATGCCATGTATACAACTGCCACGTAAGGTTTTTGAGGCTGTGACCTTTCGAAGCAGATCACCAAGCCTGACTTCTGAAGCACCTGTGGTTGGGTTTGAACTGTCAAGCTTTCAGTTAGTAGTCTAATGTTTAACCATTTACACTACCCAGAAATTCCTTTGTTTGTGTAGGTAAATGGGAAAGAAAGCAATGGAAGCAATGCTACTTGGAAAGATCCAGGATGGAGGTGGTCCTCAGAACTTCACCAGCAGAACGAGTCAGACAGGGATCATCCAATGACCAACTGGCCCTGAACCTAAGGACCAGGAAGGAGGCTTCCAGAGAAAGGAGCTAGAGAGTGGGTAACCAGCCCCAACAGCCTGGTGTCCCACACCCTGTCATTTCTACATCTGACTTTCCTCAAGCTAGTCACTCAACCTGTGGGCCGTGGTCCACACTTCCTACCCATACATTCCCATCCTACTTCATCCAGACCCTGGAATATCTGGGGTCCTCCAATCCGTATCTGATTTTTTAATCAAAGCCACAAAAATAGAATTACTGTTGTGTGGGAGATGCAGTGGAGGGGTCTCAGTATTTTCAAACATTAAAAAGAGTTCAGAGGGTTGGAAAACTGCCAAGATAAGGCCCTTACACTCTGCTAAGCCTGACTGAAGGCAGGAATGTCAGTCCCAAGGTCACAGCAGGTGACTGCCCTGCCCTAGAATCCCACTGACCAATTGCAGAGCTCACACCGGCTGCCTGCTCTTTCATCCCGCTCACAAATACTCACTGAGCATATCACACCATAAGCCCTATGGGGCCTGCCCAGCCTGAAGGGCTGCTGAAAGGGTGGGGATGAGTAGCCCAGCACAGGGAGATGGAAGGAGAGAAGCAAGGCCTATCAAGAAGAGGAAGACACCCAGAGAAGATAGGGGAGGGAGAGCAGGCAGTAGTAGAGAACCTAGAGACACAGAAGTCTAGCTGCCTCCTGCAGACTCATGCACTAGGCATCAAGGGGACAAATGACACCTGCTCTCTGTTCCAGATGCCTCTCTCAGGCTCAAAATACCTCCACAGGGCACACAGTTCCCAAATCTACACTCAAACCCTGACACCCCCTCCTGAGCTTCAGGCCCCAACTGCCATCTAGATGTATCTGTCAAAGTGAACTCAGCATCATCTCCCCCAAATCTGCTTCCTTCTGAAAGGGCCCAATATCTGTGAACAGCTCAATTCTCCACACAGTGACCCATGCCAGCATCCTAACTCATTCCTCTCCCCATCACCTACAACCAATCAGTCACCAAGGTCCCCAAGAGTCTTACCTCTATTTAACCCTCAGTACCATCTCCTTTTTCCCATTCCTGCTGCACCATCCAAGATCACCATCATTTTTTCCAGGAAACTGACAACAGCTTCCCAACTGTTGGTAATTGCTGTTGCGGATTCTAATTTATGGCAATCCCATGTGTGCAGAGTAGAACTGCTCCATACAGTTTTCAAAGTTGTGATTTTTTGAAGCAGATTCCCAGGCCTGTCTTCCAAAGGCACCTCTGAGTGGATTTGAACTGTCAACCTTTTGGCTAGTACTCAAGCACTTAACCACTTGCACCACCCAGGGATTCTTGTTCCCTAACTAAACCTGCCTGAGTCTTGCCCTCATACCTGTTCCCCTCACCTGCATCCACACTGCCAACAGAGCCATCTTGGGCCAAGGCCTGGTCCCACACTCTCCTGCTTGCTTTCCTTCATTAGTTCCTCATTCAACAGGAGGGGATTACAAAAGGGCATGACCACCAGGAGGGATGGCTATAATTTTTTATTTTATTTTTAATTTTTATTGTGATCTGGGTGAAAGTTTACAAAGCAAATTCATTTTCCATTAGTGCATACACATTTTGTTTCATGACATTGACTGCAATCCCCACAATGTAACAGCTCT